TATATATATATATATATATATATATATATATAAACAAAGACGGTTAACTAAGTAAAATGAAGCAAAATATATGCCAACACAGAATAATTTAAATAAATTTTGAAACAGATGCAAGGAGATAACAAAAACTCAGCGAACGATGCACACCATAGGCACAGTGATCCTAAAAATAAAAAAAAAAATTTTTTTTAAGGATTTAAAAGACTTGACGCCCGATTTAAAGTGATAACACTGAGTGTTCGTCTTGTGATCTTTCGCAGGTTTCCATACAGCTTTTTATAGCCACCAAACAGAGCATCAGAACAACAGCAATAAACAAACATCCAAATATTAAAATTGCAATTCGGCAAAAGCTCAACCAACAAGAAATGTTTTGCAATCAGAAGGAAAATATATTTAGGCTAACTGTGAATCAAGCAAAATTGAAGCAAAGTGCTTAAAGTAAAGAAAACTAGAGGTCAACTTTAAAGCAGCAAAAAAAGTTTACATAACCCTCAAAACTACTGTTAATTATTATAACGGTTTGCTTATTTGCATTTAAAATTAAAAGGTTGAAAGACGAAAGAAAAAAAAAAAAAAACAAAACAAAACAAAAAACAAGCCCCATCTACTGGACCTAAAACTGGTTCAAATAAAGATGCCCTAATTTAAAAATTACAAAGTGTCTCTAGTAAACAACAAAATTACACAAGAGCACCAACAAAACAATTAAAAAAACTTCTCTTCTTCAACTGGGAGAGCTTAGTTGGAACTTTGACGTCGATTACCGTCGTTCGTTTGCCGTTCAACATTCAACACACAAATACATAGACATACACATACACATACACACTCACACACACACACACACACACACACACACACACACACACCACAGACACACACAGAGACACACACAGAGACACACACAAACACACCACCACACACCCACACACACACACACACACACACACACAAACACACACACACACACACACACACACATACATACGTACATACACACATACATACGTACATACACACATACATACACACCAACAACTGAACAATAATAACACTAAAAAAAGAGAGAAAAATAAGACCAATGAAAAAAGAAACACAGATTCCAATCAGAATCTGAAACTGAATGTAGGGAATTGCATTGAGAGATCCCACTATAGCTGAGTGCAAACACAGAAAACGAATAAACGAAGGGAAAGAGAAGAAAAAAAAAATTTTTTTCCCCGTCCTTACCGCTTCCAAATAGACAAATATATCTATCCCATACATTTATGTATATATACTCGCTGAAATGAAGGAGAAGAAAAAAAAGAAACGTCAGTTTCAGCTGCAGTCCGACCACCGTAGAAAAGCGTTTGAACAATAGGGGAGGAGAATTGGAGGGGAGACGAGGGGAAACGGGAGAGAGGGGATGGAGGAAACATTGTGCAGACGAGAGGAGAGTGCTGAAAACAGCGACAATTGGAATTATTTTTCTCCATTTCGTGTCCATAATAATCACACTCTGCACTTCTTTTTGCATTACTGCGTCTCTCCACTGCAAAACCCGTTGTCAGCTAATTGCAGCACAATATTTTCTAACAGCTAATGTTGCTATAGCGCTGCTCTGCTGTGACGCTATACTATATGCATATATTCGATGACCTTTGATGCTTTAAACAAAGAGATCCGGTTGATCATCAAGTTGCATTCTTCCTGTTTATTTATACATATTTTTTCCCCCTCATTCATTCGTTTATTTTATTCTTTCAGTCATTCACTCATTCATTCACCCATTCATTCGCTCATCTATACATTCGTTCGTTCGATCATTTCACACCCCAATAGTATCTAAAGGTAACAGAGAATACTTTTGTGTTTTTTTTTTTTTTTTCTAGCTCTGCTGTTGTAGCCTACACCTGAATATATCTGTAAAGCATCATAATTAATGAAAAAAATTGAAAGAAAATGGTATTACTGGGGAACTAAAACTGAACAGTTTTTAGTTATTTTAATGTTATTGCATTTCCCTCCGCTCTACTGTCAATTCATGATCACACGTTCTGCTAATGTTCATCGCTGCTGTCATACACATTTGACTGTACTTTTATAACAAGAAAAAAAGAGCATGGAACAGAATATTAGTCGTTCTGCAACAGATTTTCACTGAAGTAAACTTGAGAAGATTGTTCCTAGTTTCCCCTAATCGTGAAAAAGATATACCAGTTTATTAGTTTAGGGGAGCGAAAGTTTTATGTACAAATTGCAAAACACCAAAAATTGCTATCGTTTTCTTCTTTTTTTTTTTTTTTTCTTTTTTAATTTTATTTGGCCTTAAGTAAAAGGTGAATTAAAAAAGTAGAAAAGTTTTGAGATGTATTTAAAGCTGTATAAATTACATTAAATTGTAATTAGTGGAGGTTTTAAGAGAAAAAAATCAGTAAGGTGCAGCAAAAAAAAAAGGAACTGTGGTAACAGTACACTATAGACTGTTGCAAAACAAATATGATCATATTTATTTGGACCCTATAACCCAGTTCATCACTAACGAGTGTTGAAGTATTCTAGTTTAAACTTAGATGTAGGTACACTGGTAATACCCTTTTATAGTGGAAACGAAATAATTATAAACTCATCAATACCCGAACAAAAAAGCAGAAAAAAGGAATTTAGTTTTGTTAAACATATTACTGCATGAACAGTTCTATATTTACCAATGAATTTTTAGATATCTTTTTTTTTTTTCCGACTGTGTCGGTGCTGGCTTTATAGTTTAAGTTTAAATGGAAAATAGGCTAAAGGAAATGATGGCAAAACTATTTTTATTCTGTTTTTTGGTCTTTAACTTTACCAAAAAAAAAATCTTATGTTGGGCATATTTGAATACAAATATATTTGGGTGGTTTATTAAAAAAAAAAATTTTTTTTTTTTTTTCGATTGGTATAGAAAAAAATTAGTTGACGATGAACAAAGAGAAGAGTGTCAAAACTTCTGAGGACTGTATAAATCGATGATGGATTTACTGTAATGCGGTAGACAATAAGCAACTTCTTAGATTTCTGATATGTGTGGAAGATTTGATACAGTTTTCTGTATTAGATTGCTTAGTAGTTTCCTTGGACTATCAGTATCAATCTGATTGTTTACTGAATTTTTTTTAGAACTTATAGGTTTTTATGTATGGATACCTGTTTTTTTTTTTTTCCCCTTCTCTACATCTGTAACTGAAATAAATAGGTTTCAGTAAGATGCTATCAGTCAATTTGTAGAATATAGTTTGGATAGTGAATAAGTAAAGAAGTGATAACGCTACTGTGAAGAAAATGGGCGAAAAAAACTGCAGGGATTTTGATATGTTTCGGCAAAATAAAATAAAATTAAATAAATAAATGAATTGGTGTTGTAATATCTGTTGTTTTTTTTATTTCAACAATTGTTAGAGGTTGGTACCTAAGTTATTTTTCAATTTTATCTTTTTAATTATTTATTTATTTGTTTTCCTCCTTTATTAAACTTCAATATCCCTCTAACGTTAGCAACACCAATTTTCAATCACTGGAAAGAAGAAGAAGAAGAAAAAAAACGATTTCTAAGAAAACTAAACTTGATTTTTTTTCCCCCCTACTTTTTTTCACATTTAAGACCATTATTAGGAAGTTCAGTCATTTTTCTAACTTTATTTGTTTAGGTTGCTGTTTAACGTTCATAAAAATTTGAATGTTACCGGGTTTTGACCGTTCCCAATTTTTTGTTTTCTCCATATATTTTTTTGCTTAAAAAAAAAATTTTTTTTTTAGCAGTAAATTAGATAATAAAATAAACTTTAGTCGTAATACTTTATGAAAGTAATACTGTCTCTCAATAAATTGGTTGTCATTCTGATGGTCAACGGATAAAATTTCTTATTACATTTGCTGACAGCCGCTGACTTTTATACATCGTCTATCTTTAGATTCCAACCGGCCAACTGTACTTTTTTTTCATCGTTGTTGTTTTTGATTTTTTTTGCAAACAGTTAATAATTGGATTTGTTCATAATAAATAGAGAAATGAACAAATCTAAGGTTACTGAAGGCGAGTACCTAGTTGAGCTCTGTATATCAATAAAATTTTATTACAGTCATACTTTTTTTTTATGCATCAGTTCATCAACTGCGATTAGTCACTTTTTTTTCAATGCTAAATTACCATTTATTTGTCTTTTATTAGTACTAGTCGGCTATTAAAGTTTGTGCACCTGATAACCTGTTATGTTTCAGCAGTAATGCATTACTAGTTACCGCATTAGGTAAATTTCTAGGTTTCAAGGGAATTTTTGATCTCTTTTCAACATGATAATTTCTTTTCTCTATAAACCATAAATGAGATATGTATATTTCAGCTCGTCTACCTTCTTGACCTCCTTTCAAATACGTCATCTGTATATTTCGGTAAATAATATCAGAGGTCAATACTTTTTGCAAGGAGTAGTAGAGATTATTCTGTAGACTATGCATGTTTCGCGTTTCGTTCTTTGATGTATCGGTACCTGTATTTTAGGTAATACTTTTATTCTTGGACGTATTACGAAATTTCAGGTCGCTTAATGTTAAAAAGTCTCCTCTCACGCATACATGGCTCAGCAAGGGTGGCAGCTTTAAGGAAACACCGGTTGCTGATCAGAAGGTCATTATCAGCATGGATTGACCCAACCAAGTACGAGATTTTACTATAAAACCTGTGTATCGCTTATTATTAACTGATTGGTGGATGTAGTGAAAATGTCTGTTACTATGAAACCAGATTTTCTATAGACTTGTTTCTGTTCTAGAGCTGGGTCCTCAAGAAGTCGGCTGGAAAATTTGGATGTGGAGAAGTTATTTACAAACAAGGAAGTGCAAAAGCTTCTGCAGGATCTTACTGATACCAATTTAGAGAAGATTTTTGCTGAAAGAGTTTTTGACGTGCAGGAAAGAAGTCATTTTGCATTGATGACTGAAAAAATGTATGAAGAAGTAGGTTACATCTGGATGAATAGCGAGTCATTTATTTTAGATCCATACCGGAATTTTAAAGGTCGAGAATTTATAGTTTTGGTGAACTAAGGGCTATATTTTCATTGAATTTTTTTTTTTTGTGAATTTGTATATTTGTTTGCACAGCTAATTTTTTTGGCAGAAAGTTACCATTGCAAAGTTCAAAAATATTCTTTTAGAAATGCTTTTTTATAGCCAGTTGGATTTTTTCTATTTAAAACAAGCGATAAAAATATGCCGATGTTTTACAATTGCTTACTTAAGGCCTTAGAGAACATGAAAGAAGAGGGTAAACAATTTTTGCAATTTGTACCAATTAAAGAACCTCGATCGAATGAAGTTGAAATACTGTCAAAGGATCCGCTAATCAAAGGATTTGATACCTCAAAATTTATTTTTGTTGATATTACCTTCGACGCAACGAATCAGGCAAGGTTCTTTTTACAGCTAGGAATTTAATTTTGAAGTCTTTGATTCGAAATTTTCCTGGCTAATAAATTGCCTACTTTTAGTTTGAACTAATTATTTTTGTTCCATTTAGATCCTTTTTACTGCACTAATGTGTGTAGAACTGGCGTCTATTTACCAGTTTCACTTTCTTACTTACTTCCGGTAATTTTATTGACCGAGGAGTACACAAATTTGTTATTCCGTCATTTAGTTCTGCTTGAATCATTTGCCTTTTTTGGTTTAATGATTCTCAGTTAAATCTTATAATATGTAGAACAGAACGGTGGTAGTAAGAGAAACTGATGGGACACTTCGAACAGCAACTGTTGAAGAACACGACAGAATGAATCGTACCTACTTTGCGCAGCCAGAACGACCTGTTAATGAGCCTGCTTTATTTAAGAATCCCTCCCTAAAAGTGATTTGCCTTCTTTCTGCTCAACTTTGTCATTCATCGATTAACAGCTACTTGGGAATGTGCCGTTAATGCATTGTTTGTTTGTTATATAGGAGGCTCTAGAAAGAAACGACCACGAGTACGTATTGGATTACGCGTGTTATTATTTTGAGCCAGACGATCCTGCTTTTGTTAAGGTAGAAGATTTCCTTTTGTTCGAGCAAATAGAAGTATTCATATGAAACACGATTTAGGTTTATCGTGAAATTTTTGATGATACTGCCGAAAAGAAGAAATTTGAGTTAATTTACTCCACTCGCCATTTTGGTCCATTCGTTTTCTATATGGTTATCAACGACAATATGAATCCACTGTTGAATTTTTTCGCTTCTACTGGCAGGTTAACTTTGTTGTTTTCCTCACTCGTCTCGGATGCATGTTACTCATGGACTACTTTCTTTTCTTCTTATGAGTTATTTGTTTTACCAAAGGAGTTGAACTTCGTGTGTTTCATTTTTGCTTTCATTATCATCATGATACTATTCACCTTTCATCTCATGTACATAAATTATATATTTCCTCATTACGAAGTTTCGTTGAGGGCAGAGGTTGATTGGTAAAGTTTGTGGGAGCAAGTGAACCAGTGTTCTGGAAGAGCAGTCAGAGGACTGTGGAAGTGGAAATATGGAATATTTTAAAAAATTGTTGTGCTGAGGGTTCAAATGAGAAATTGTTTCAGACAAAAGTGTCTTTCAAAAAGTTTTAGTTTTATGACCTTATAAAGTGACCACCGGCACATTTTTTTTCACTCTCGAAAGGAGGTTGGTTTTATTGCCGAATTATTTTTAATTAAGTTATTTTAGCTTGTCGAATACTGCAAAATTAATACGTTTATATAAAATTGTTCATCCGCACTGGAGGGTAGCCATTGGAAGCGGTGATAGTGATAGAAAGATTGTTATGGTCAGTATGGTCTTTAATGATTTTCCTATTCTTGAGCAGCGGTGGTCCTGTTATTTTAATTTTTTAGGATTTTCTGAGGCAGAATCGTGATGAGGCAACGAAGTTAGGAGATGTGGTTCGGCTTTTGTCCGAAGGAGTTGAAAAAGTTGACGTGAAAAAGAAAGCTATTAGTTTGAAAAGCCAGTCTGTTCCAAAGGTAAAACTTTTGTTCTATCGTTTCTGTGATACTTTTTTGACGTTCTAATAGCGTAGTTTCGTTAAACCTTGTGCTGCTGTTTCTGTAATGTAATTAAAGTTTGCTTCAAATTAAGATGGAATTAATTAACAAAGAGACACTTCGTACCAGAGAAGGTCCCTTAGGTGACCTGGCTGATGAATATCCGGTAAGCGTAGTCACAGGTTCATATGAAAAAGTCAAAGACGAAAACACTGGAAAGAAAAGTGTTCCGACCAGGAAGCAGAGAAGTTCGAAAACTAAGGTACCCGAAGATCATTGATTAACCAGTAGAGCTCTCCTGATTTAATGTATTTTCTGTAATTGTTACACTGTGTTGCTCTGTTTTA